CGTCTTTTTCACTCTCTTTTGGAGGAGTTTGACTCTAAGGTATGGTTTTCTTTGCATTTATTCTGCTTGGGTTTGGCTGAACTTCTTGGAGCTATAAATTTGTCTCTCTCCAAACTTGGGGAATTGTTGGCCTTTATTTCTCCAGATATTCTTCCCCATTGTCTTGTACCTTCCCTCTCCTTCTGGGACTCCAATTACATGCATGCTGATGTCATCGCATAGATCTCTGAGGCCCTGTTATGTAAAAAAAAAAAAAGAAATCTCTCTTTCCTTCAGATTGGATCATTTATATTGATCTGCCTTAAGTTCACTGTCTCTTTGCTCTCATCTATATTTTGCTCTATTACTTATTTTTCCAGATATTTTTAGTTCTAGAATTTCCATCTGATGATGATTCTCCATCCTCCTCCTCCGTCTCTTCTCCTTCTTCCTCTCTTTTCCTTTTTTTTAATAAATTTATTTTTTATTGGTGTTCAATTTGCCAACATACAGAATAACACCCAGTGCTCATCCCGTCAAGTGCCCACCTCAGTGCCCGCCACCCAGTCACCTCCACACCCCACCCACCTCCCCTTCCACCACCCCTAGTTCATTTCCCAGAGTTAGGAGTCTTTCATGTTCTGTCACCCTTTCTGATATTTCCCACTTATTTTTTCTCCTTTCCCTTTTATTCCCTTTCACTATTTTTTATATTCCCCAAATGAATGAGACCATATAATTTTTGTCCTTCTCCGATTGACTTACTTCACTCAGCATAATACCCTCCAGTTCCATCCACGTGGAAGCAAATGGTGGGTATTTGTCGTTTCTAATGGCTGAGTAATATTCCATTGTATACATAGACCACAGCTTCTTTATCCAATCATCTTTTGATGGACACCGAGGCTCCTTCCACAGTTTGGCTGTTGTGGACATTGCTGCTAGAAACATTGGGATGCAGGTGTCCCAGCGTTTCACTGCATCTGTATCTTGGGGTAAATCCCCAGCAGTGCAATTGCTGGGTCATAGGGCAGATCTATTTTTAATTCTTTGAGGAACCTCCACACAGTTTTCCAGAGTGGCTGCACCAGTTCACATTCCCACCAACAGTGCAGGAGGGTTCCCCTTTCTCCACATCCTCTCCAACATTTGTGGTTTCCTGCCTTGTTAATTTTCCCCATTCTCACTTGTGTGAGGTGGTATCTCATTGTGGTTTTCATTTGTATTTTCCTGATGGCAAGTGATGCGGAGCATTTTCTCATGTGCTTGTTGGCCATGTCTAGGTCTTCCTCTCTTCCTTTCTTTTCCAATGTATAATTCTCTGCTGAGATTTCCGATCCTTTCATGAATTGGTAATATATTTGATCCACAGAGCACAGGTATAAAATCTTCACTGAAATCATTATCTGTTGATTGCAACATCTGTGCCATTGTACAGTTCCTCTTGGTTTCCCTTGAGAGTAGGTCACATTTCCCTTGTATATTGCATAATTTTGGATTGTGCCTTGGATATTGTGAATGTTATTATATAGAAATTCTGAGTTCTTTTATATTTCTCTGAAAAGGAATTTTTTTATTTAAGCAAGCAGTTAACTTGGCTACGCTAAACTGAAACCTGTTTAAAAGTTCAAATCTTACTCTAGTTGTTTCGCCCTCAGTTGAACTATTTGCAGTTTGCTCCATACATGCTTGGCTTAGGGGCCAACCAGAGGCCAGAGGTTTAGACAAGTTTATGCAATGAAGTGGGGTTTTCCCTCTCCTGTGGTGCTACTAAATATGCAGGGAGCTGGTAGGGCCAGGTGCAGAGAACATTAATTAACTGCGAGCTCCCTCTGCCACACTTTTGGATCTCTTGTGACATTCATGCCAAGACCATTTTTGTCATTCCTGCCTGATGCAAGATTTTTATAATGGATCACTTTTGTTTGAGGACTCCACATTAGCTGGAGTGAGGGTTTTGTAGAGGTACGGGTGGTCTGGGGTCCATCCTGCCCTGACCTTCCTTTCTGGTCTGCTTGCACCCACAGGCTCAGGCCTGCACCATCATTTATGCCTGCTCCTCGCCCTTCCTCTGCTCATATGGCCTTGCCAGTTCTAAAGGTTGGTACCTTGGCCCTCACAAGGACATGGGGTTGAGTGAGGGCCTCTCCCATGACCATAGGATAATGAAGTCCACCCCTAAGGCCACTCATAAGTGTGGGCACATCTCAAAGGGATGGTAGGGAGTCTGGGCCAGTAAATGTCCAGACTTCCTTCTTTCTGGTACTTACCTAATGGTCAGGGTTCCTCAGAAGGACTTATGCTTTCAGGGGCACATGCGTGCCTTCTCTCCCTTTCTATATCATCCCCTGTGGAAACCTTTTATGCAGACTTTGAGCTTCTGGCCTATCACATTGGGTACACCTTCCAGAAATTCTGGAGACCCTGCTGATTCAATTCTGAAGCCAGAGACAGGGAGTATAGTTTGGGCAAGTGTGTAGGAGGACACAATGAATCACCATGCCCAAGCTCAGGGCTGGCTCTGTTTTTTGGGTGTGGGTAAAGAAATTGCATTTTAAAAGTCATTTTGAGGGACACCTGGGTGGCTCAGTGGTTAAGAGTCTTCCTTTGGCTCAGGACGTGATCCTGGAATTGAGTCCCACATCAGGCTCCCTGCATGAAGCCTGCTTCTCCCTCTCCCTATATCCCTGCCTCTTTCTCTCTGTGTCTCTCATGAATAAATAAATAAATAAAATCTTTTAAAATATCATTTTGAGTCTTCTCTTATTAGAGAAAACAGCCCCCAGCTCCCAAGGTAGTGCCTAGAACCTGTCAGGTGCCTTGCAGGAGAAAAATGGGGGAGCAGCAGGCTGGGGCCTTGTGCCAGCGCTGGGCACACATAGAAGGTGAGTTCCTTGTCCTGCAGGGGCCCTAGGTCCAAGGGAGAGGCCACATGGGAGGATTACAATAGTTATACTGGGGGGACAAAGCCCTGGGGGGAGAGATGAGAATCAAAGACGCCTCCCCAGGGTGGATGACATTTGGGAGGTGTTCTGAAGAAAAAGTGGAGCTTTCTGAGCAACGAGTTGGGAAAACCACCTTATCTAGACTGGGTTTTTTGGCAGGGGGCACTTTTGCCTAGATGGAATCACAGTGATTATGGCTTTTTTTTTTCTTTTTTTTTTTTTTTTTTTTTGTGGGAAGAGGGGGTGTGAGCTGTTTGGGGTGATTGGAATATAGCATGTTTAAGGAGACTTGTTTTGAATGCACTTCTTTATTTTTATGACAACAATTCCTAATTTATTCAACAAGGATGTATTTGGGCATCTAGTATATGCAAGAAATTGGACTAAGCATAAATAGAACAGAAAATAATCATGCCTCCCAATGAGAACAAATGTCTATCAGTTGTCTTCTTGTTGCTGCCTGGTGTGGAAGCACTGAGCTGGGTGCAGGGCAGGAGGCCACACAGTCCTGCTCTGCGTCAGATGGATTTGTGCAGTGTACCCACTCTGATCAGAGTATGGGATTCACTAAAGATTGAGGGAAAAACTTTTAGAATGCACTGAAGCTTAGGCATAACATGGCCCAACTTGGACATCCTTTGGTTTGAAGCCAGTAAGCCTGGGCCTGAGGAATCGTGGCAGCCACAGAAAAGCAAGCTGCAAGGTCTGCCCCAGAGCCACCTGGGTGCCTGCCCACCTGGGCAGGCTGGAGTCTGGGACCTGAGCTTAGCCTCGAGCTAAGCCGTAGCTTAGCCATATTCAAGTGAGACTGGCTCAGGTGGCTTCTTAGATAGCTACACTATTGGGAATCCGGTCTGGGGACAAGTAGTAATATGGCAGCTTCTTGTTCTTGTTGCGCTCAGCAATCATGCTGACGATGGTGTCAAGGTTCTTGCGGAACCGGGCAATGGCCTCTTTTACAGGCTTCTCGATGAAATGCTCTTCTGGGTACATGCCCAGGAACAGCTAAGGGCCCAGATACAGACAGGTTAATCTTTGCTGAGGTGATGTCAAATGACAGGCCTTGTCTCACCCCCAGAGACCATCTCTTGGGAAGTGAGCGAGGGAGCATGTGCTCATTCCCTCCCTCCATCCACTGCCACCTGCTGAGAGCACCCCAAGAATGCTCCTGGTCTGGGGTCTCAGATAAATGGGAAAGATAACTGCCCTGCTGTGGGGTGGCTACCAGGGTGTGTAATGACATGAGTGAACGGGGGACTGTGGTGGGCACGCGGCTGTACCGTCCTGCCTTCCCATTTGGGCTCCAGGCAGCAGAGGTACAGGAGCCAGCGCTTGCCTCTCCGGCCCAGGACGGCCATGGCCAGGCCCTGCTGGGGTACTGTGCTTGTTTGTACACTCACACAGATGTCTGCAAATTCAAACTAGATAGAGCTTTATAAAAGTTATTGGGTTATTAAAACTGGAAAGTTTCATACCCAGGGCTGGAAAGGGTGAGATTTTGGATTAGTTTGTGGAGGACGGATCGTCTCAACATTCTTTGGCCCAGAAATTCCTCTACTAGGAACACGTCATCTGGCACTACTGAACACATGTGCAAAGACATGTACACATGTGCAAAGATGTTAGTGGAGGACTAACACATTAGCAAAGTCCCCAAAGCAACCTCAGTGCCCCCTAAAATGGCGCATGGGTCTGGGGCTGGTAGAACTGGTCATCATTCTGTGCAACACAGAGCTAATGCCACAGGGTTGTGCCTGAGATCCTGAGATACCCAGCTTTGACATTAGGTTCAGTAAAAGGTGTGTGCATGGAAATGTCTGGAAAGATTCCCAGGAAACTCTTGGTCGTTCCCTCGGGGTAGTCACCGGGGAGCAGAGTCCCCTGCTCCCCTGCTCCAAGCTCCATCCAGGCGCAGGCCTGAGGACCTCCTGGGCACCCCCAGCCTTGAAAGTCAGGATTTCTGGAGAGCAGGTGTCCAGCTTAAGCCCTTATGTTGCAAAGTCCTGAGACGGAGGAATGGGTTACATCCGAGCGACCCGCCCTTTAGAAGGGGCAGAATATGTCTCCCGTACTTACCTCATTTTCTTGGAACTGGCTCAGTGCCCATACTGCGCCCAGATGCCAGCAGGAGCGGCCACGGTCTGGCAGCGTGTCCACAATCTGCTCGATGGTGACGACACCCTTGGCCGTCGGTGGCGGGGCCCGCATGGTTGGGGGGGCATTGGGGATCCAGGAGCACCAGTCGTACTGCAGGGACAGCCACAGACAACAGGCGCGCCTCCCCGGCTGGTCCCACTGCCTGCAGTGGCCCACGTCCCTCCCTGCACCACTGAGAGCGCCGGCCACACGCCTGCCCTCTTTGTACTAGGCTTCCTGCTCCCACAGGGCCACCACCGTCCCCTCTCTGGCTGCTGCCCTCAGCTTAGTGGGCGGAACACGTCCCTGAGGCTGCCTGAGACCAGCCCCAGAAGACCAGAAAGAGGGGTGGTTCTGGCCGGGCTCCTCAGCAGCAGTCAAGGCGACCCTGGCCATGTCCCGCCCAGCCTTTGCCCACCTGGCCGAAGTTCACCGCTGCATGCTGGGCCGAGGCCGTGAAGATCACTACTGTTAGGTACTCCGACAGCTTCTCTCTGGTCTTGATGGACTTGGGGAAACCTAGTGAAGAGCCAGGGGCTGGCTGAGGCCCTGGGGTTGGGGGAGTGGACCGATGACCCTTGGGCACCCTCCCCCACCCCACCCCAGGCCCTGAGCTCCCCCACACAGGGGCTCGGGGGGGCCAGCCATGGGCAAGACACTGGGAGAAGACAGCCGCTTGGCCAGGGCTCTGATGTTTCTCATCCTGGTTCTCAGTGGCTGCAGAAAGTCCCTGAGATGTTCCCATGAGACCTCCTGATGGCCAGGAGTCCCCTTAGGGGGCTCTGGCCCCAGCACCAGGTGCTAAGGTGGATGCTGGGGCCAGAACTGCCCGAGGGCAGTCAGAGGGGCAGGGAAAAGCAGAAGGGAGAGCCAGAGGGAGAGCTGGGGGCAGTGTGTACCTGAGGTCTTCTTGCCCCGCATGCCGTACACATAAACATCCTTCACAAAGTCCTGCAGCTCCTGGTCCTCTACCACCATCTGGTCACTCTTGTAGTAGATGCCTACCACCTCGGCCGTGAACCTGGCTCAGGAGGAGGGGCCCAGCTAGGAGTGGATGACCTGGCCCGGGTTTGCAGCTGGGCCCCAGGGCGGGGCTCCAGTGGTGACCCCGGGACTTATTCCTTAATGTCCAGACTCAGGTCACTCACCCACACTCACACATCCACCCTCCTTCCTCCCTCTATCAGTGCCCTGACAATGGAGCCATCTCTGGCCCACTGAGTCAGCCATCCAGGCCCTGGGCCTCTCCTCCTCCAGGACCTCCCCTCGCTCTGCACAGAGCAGGCCCCACAGCCCCAGCATGCACTCACGTCTTGATGGCCTCCCACACCAGGAGCCCGTCATCCCGGTAGAAGTAGTAGGGAATGTCCTCTGTGCTGTCCATTCCCCGAGCTTTGATGGCCTCGGGGAAGCACAGGGAGATGTAGGTCAGGTCCTGCATGGCCCTCTGCACCATCTGCACGTGTCCACCGCCCCCTGTGGCATTGGCCTTGAGTGGGAGGAGAAAGAGTACCATGAGCTGAGCCTGGGCAGCCCTCTCCAGCCTTCTTGCCCAGAGCTCTCCACAAGAAACTGAAAGGACACTGGGGTGGCCAGGCATGTGGAGGGGCGAGCCCATGTCCTGTGAGTTTGGGAGGTGGGATGTTTAATTCAGGGAATACCAAGGGCAGCCCAATGAGGAGGTTACGGAGAGGCACCTGCACCCCATCCAGTGCAAGAGGTTGCAGTGGAAGGGGTGTGTGCAGAGACGGGGAGGAGGGGGCAGCTGCAGGAGGGCGGGGCCTGCTCTCATTCTGAGCACAGGCTGCCCAGAGTGCAAGCACTGCTCTCAGTGACCTCATCTCTGGGCTAAAGGGGCAGATACCAGCCCCCAGGACCATACAGCTCTCCTGAGGGCAGTGTTTGCTTAGGTGAGGGCTGGAGAGATACATAAGAAGGGATCCTGGTCCTCATCCCAGCTGTTGAGACGTAGGCTTACATGGTGGCTGGGCAATCAGGCCACAGAACCTTCAAAGGAGGACTTGCATCCTGGGGTGCCACACATTGGTCCACAGCGTCATTTAACCCAAGGCAGAGTGATTGGAGATGCTCCTTGGACCTTCTAATTGGATGGGAGATGGCAGTCGCCATGTGGGAACGTGAGCCTGGAGCTCTCTGTGGTGAGGTCCCAGTCCCTCACCCTCGGGGGAAAGCCTGTCTGCAGGGCCTGACTGGGAGGATGGCTCCAACACAGTGGAAAGAGAGGAAGAGTACCAGCTGGTGTGGTTGTCCCCTGGGGCCATTATTCGAGTCCCTGGGTCCATTTTGGGAGGGTCAGAGGCACTCTCTCCTCTGTTATGTCCAGGGTTTTGAGAGAATACACTTCTTTTCCAGCTTCAGCTAGTTTGACTTGGGTTTTGTCATTTTTCAACCCAAACGGTGGTTCAGCCTCACTGATGGTGTGACTGCCTCACTAATGGGAGATCGAAGAGGAAAGGGGGCAGGAGTGAGGGATACTGGGAGGGTCCAGGCGTGGTAAGGCCACAGGGGGTCCAAATGGGCCAAGGTGCTGCCTGGGAGGATGTGAGGGACAGGCAGGTGGTAGGCCCAGCTGAGGGAGGGAGGAGTGGGTGCCAGGAGGCAGGATCTCTACCCACAGGCCAGAGGATGGGGAGGACCGGGAGAAGTCTACAGGGTGACACAGGCCAGGAGAAGAAGTGGTGAGAAGCAAGCAGCGCATTTGGAAGGGAAGAGGTGACTGGTATGGAAGGTGCCACAAATTGGCCAGAGGACGTGGGGAGCTGTCACTGTGAGTGCCTCCGGCCTCCAATCCTTCTGAGGCACCACCACAGAGCCTAGAGGTCTGTCTCCTGAGAGGAAATCTGGCATGGGGGTGGAGGTTTGGAGAAGTGGGGCCCCGCACAGAGGTGGATAGGAGGTGCCCACCTTGTCAAAGAGTCCATACTCGCAGATGAGCTGTTCACGGGCCTTGGTGTTGATGGCAATGGTGAACCGCACGTGTGCCACCAGAAGCTGCAGGGAAGAGCAGGAGAAGGCCTCAAAGCAGGCCTGGCCAGGCCTCATCCTGACCAGGTCTGCACCCCCAGGGGCCCCCAGAGACCCCAAGCACCCTGCACCCCAGTCCGATGCAGAGGGGCTGCTGGAGGCCTGGGGAATGCAGCTTCGATGCTGAGTGACATGATAATGATAAAAATGATAATAGCCAACATTTGTCAAGTGCTTAACTAGGTGCTAGGTACGGGTTTACGCTCTCTGAATTCGTGAACTATTTTGGTTCTGACAGTAATCCTATGAGGCAAGTGCTCTCTGCTTTACAGATGAGGAAACAGGCCCAGAGAGCTATTTTGAGCCTGCATCACCCCAGCAGTCGGTGCCAGTAGGATTCAGGAAGACAGAAGGGTGGTGATGGTGGGGACTACCACCGCGGATCACACGAGGCTCGCACTGACCTCATCGGCCTCTTCAAACTTTCTTCCCAGGCCAGCTAGGGCTTGTGTTGGGCCCAGGCCTTGTGTCCTCAGGAACCCGCAGGCTCAGAGCTGTATCACTGCCTCCTGAGCATCTCTCCAAGGGCCCCTCTCTGCTGGCTCCTCCCAGCGCCAGCCCCATGGGGTGGTCAGTGCCCCAGCTCCCTCCCTCTGTCCTCCCACCATGCCCACGCCCTGCTCTGCTGGGCAAGGCAGGAGCTTGCCCTACCTTGAAAATGGGGTGCACTGCGGGCAGGTGGCGGTACATGGCGATGCCAAAGACTTCAGACACCAGATGTGTGCGCAGAAGGTGAGTGATGGTCTGGTGGATGTGGAAGTCACTGGAGCGCACCCAGATTTTGGCCAGAAGCCAGTCATATTTTGCATCCGAAGGGAGAAAAATTGGGTTTTCATCTCCTGGGACTTGGTTGAGCTGATACATTGGAAAAAGAAAATGAATGGCAATGTTTGGTTCTATATAGCTGTAGGAGAGCCTGGCCTCTCAGGAAATTCCAGAATAATCCATCCACATGTCTTAAAAGGGGCCTCTTAATCATGAGAGGATCACCAAGGAGTGCAGGCAGCCCAAGGTTTGCATTTCCCACCCCAGTGACATCACTTACGACATCATCTACATCATCTGTGGGATGCTGGACACCTTCCTGAGCCTCTCTGAGCTCCAGTCCCGCCATCTGCAGCACTATTTACTTACTCCCTGAGTGACGGCTAGTGACTAAGATGGCAAGAAAATCCCAGCAAGGAGCAGGCCGGGTGCTTGAGTGCGTCGCTCGGCTCCTCTACCCAGGCCCCCAGCTTTCCTCCCTCCTGGTTTCTGCCCACTGCTCTGATGGCTGCTTTTCCGTGTCCCACGCTTGCCCTTCCTCTGTTCTTCCCTTAAACATTGCTGTTCCGCAGCCTCCAGCTGCCACACCTGCTTCCCTTTCTGCCCTGGATGAGGTCCCCGGCTCCCCAGGTGCTAGGGTCCTGGGGATGCAGTGGCCAAGGGTACGGTCACCTGAGCCCAGACCTGCAGCCAGCTGCCTCCTGTAGGTGAGACCAGGCCTGCCCGCACCCTTTCCAGTTTGGACTCCACACCGCGGCCAAGGTGACTTTTTTCTAAAATGCCAAACAGGAGGTAATATCAACCTCTTCTTTAAAAAAGATCACCTCTTAATGCCAGAAAATAAAGCCCCCAAAGTCCATGATCTGGCAGCTGACGCCTCTGTGGAAGTCACCCTATGTTCAGCTCTCCCTGCCCTCCAGTTCCTTGGTCCCAGCTCTGCCCATGACAACAGCCACTAGCCTGCACGGGTTCAGGACTCAGCAGGATGAGGTCACGCGAGTGCTGTCCTGACCTCTTTCAGGGGAGCACACAGAGCCTTGGAGGGGTGAACAATTATGATGAGAAGGAACTACCCGAGTGGAAGGAGCAGCATACGGCTCGGGGAGCTGCGGGCCAGGCCTTCGGCTCCTGGGACACCAGCGGGCTAGCCGACTGACAGACCAAGGGGGACGGTCACCCGGGACTGGGCGGAGGGGCCAAACTCAGTGGACTCCTTAAGGTAACAGGGACTGTTCTGGGAGGTGATTTCCCTGTCTCTCGCTGGCAAACTGTTGTCCAGTAGAAACAGTGCAAGCTGCGTATCAGGTGGCCACTTTTACTTTATACAAGTAAAAAGAAACAGGTGAACTTTCTGCTAATGATCTAACTATTTTACCCAATATATCCCCCTCATTCTAAGCCTTTGAAATCAGGTATGTACCAGAACACCTGAGCTCTGACTCACCATGTTTCAAGTGCTCTATGACAGCCAGTTCCACTCTGCTCACCTGGGACAGGAAGGTTTGACTTTCCCAATATTTTTTAAATGATTTTTTAAATTTTTATTTATTTATGATAGTCACACAGAGAGGGGGGGGGGGCAGAGACACAGGCAGAGGGAGAAGCAGGCTCCATGCACCGGGAGCCTGACGTGGGATTCGATCCCGGGTCTCCAGGATCGCGCCCTGGGCCAAAGGCAGGTGCTAAACTGCTGCGCCACCCAGGGATCCCATGACTTTCCCAGTATTCATGTCTATTTATTAATGCAATTTAGTTGCTAACTTTTAATATCAGATAATTTCATGTAAAAATCCGAATTATCAGGTCTTCTTCAAAAATTAGGTCTGTGAACTCAGAATGCACATTTTTATAAAACAGCACTCATCCTTTTTGAATGGTGCCACCTCTGCCATCGGTCCCTGCCCTCCCTGTTTGCACCCTTCCCACCCCCCTCACCCCACTTCTCCCTTCCCTGCCACTGCCTCCACCTCCCCGGCTGCTCCCCCTCACCCACTGTCCTGCCCCCCCCCAGCCGGCACCCCTCCCGAATTTCCTTCATTTTGTCCTAATTGCCTGTCCCCACAGACACCTGACTCTGCACCTGGTCTCCCAGAACACATGGGCGGCCTGCCACGCTCTGGAACTTGGCTCTGCAGCTGAGGACATCCTCTGCCACCAGGTGCTCTGCTGTACTATCTCATTTAATCCCCACCAGCAGGGAGAAACTGAGGCTCAGAGTGGTTGCGTAGGTCTCCCAAGTCACAGGTTGGGCAAACAGCTGAGCTGGGATGGGACCCACACTGTTCATTCCTTCAGCCCGTGTCTTCACTCAGTGCCTCGTCCAGACTCCCCCTTGCTTCCTCCTTGAACTTGTACACTGGCCTTTAAGGCCATGTTGACTTGGGCTGTCCCCTGCTGGGGACCCATCATGCTGTCCCCCCAACTCCTGTCCAGGCTCAGTGGTACCATGGGATTCTAGAATGTGCTATGAAATACCTTGCTGTTTTTGATTTTTAAATTTGTGTTTTTATTAACAAAAGTTTTTTGTTTCTTTTTTTAAAATTTTTATTTATTTATGATAGTCACAGAGAGAGAGAGAGAGAGAGGCAGAGACACAGTCAGAGGGAGAAGCAGGCTCCATGCACCGGGAGCCCGACGTGGGATTCGATCCCGGGTCTCCAGGATCGCGCCCTGGGCCAAAGGCAGGTGCCAAACCGCTGCACCACCCAGGGATCCCAAGTTTTTTTGTTTCTGATTAGAAATCTTATCATTAAAAAAAAAATTCTAGTCACTTCAGAAGAGCATAATAAAAAATAACCTGATAATCCAGCTTCTTTTGCAGATGTGTTTACCTGTTCGATTTCCCATAAATTGAACACTGTGATACGGAAGGTCTCTTTTTTCTTTGGTTCACTTTGTGCCCTAACCAGTCCATCCCAGTGTTCATTACCGGTGCACCTGTGTCCTGGGGCACCTCTCCATACCCACACAGGTGCTGGCCCTGCCCCGTCTGCACTGTGCATTCAGTTTGCATGGATGACATGAGATCTCTGCTCTGTGTCTGCCTTTCCACTTTGTTAACTCACTGTGGAAACCCCTCAGGTCGACTGTGATACCTCAAGTTCATTCTTACTAATGGTGGTGCAACAATTCATCATCTGGACATAAAAGATTTCATTCAATCAATCCTCTACTGCCTTCGGATTGTCTCCAAGTTTGTGTTCCTGCCACCAGCCATGCTTGGGATGTCCTCGCATGTGCATGCTCACTGTGAGTGCTTTCATCCTACTGCGCGGGCACCAGAGGAGAGGCTGCAGGGCTGGGAAGGCTGCTCTCTGGGGCAGGCAGTGTCCTCCCCCGCCTCCCCCCATCCCGTGGGCTCATGCAGCTGGGACACGCCCGCTCAGTGGCGCTGGTACCCTGCGCCCCTCCCATCAGCCTGGCCATGCCACCCCGCCCTGGGGACCCTCTGACCACTCACCGAAATCCAGAACCTCAGAGGCACACCTTAGCCGCACAGGTGCACGCCCCGGTAAGGCGTGTGAGCTGCCTCGGCCCAGGTGTCACAGTGTGCGCACGCCCTGGCCTGCAGCAGCTCACAGCCAGGGCTGGGGAGGCCGTCCTTGTTAGAGGTTGGGTGTTCCCACTTTTTTTTTTTTCTGCTTCCAACTTAATGAGTCAGAAGTGATATCTCATTGTAACTAATTTGCATTTCCTTAACTATTAGTGACCTGGAGAATTTTTCCCTGTGCTGATTTTTCCATACGTTTCCTCTTCTATCAACTGCCTCTCATTCTCTGCCCATTTTAGTATTGGGATATTTGTCTTTTCCTTATCAGTTTGAAGCAACTATGTGTATATTGTGGATATTCATCCTTTATCTGTCCCTGTAGAGCATTTATTTCCTCCTATTATTTGCCTTTTGCCTTTGTTTATGGTGTATTTTATCATTTGATTTTTAAAACATGACAATCCAATATACCTATCTTTCCCTTTATTACTTCTCGGTGTCCTGTTTTACTTTAAGAACCTCCTTAGCGGGCATATTATACATCCTTCTCCTAAATTCTTTTTACTTTTTTTTATTTTAATCTTTCCTTCGTCTGAAATTTATTTTTGTTAATAGTATGACATACGGATCCAATTTAATCTTTTCCTTCTGTGAAGGCAGCTGTGATTGCATCATCGAAATTCACCCCTTTGCACTGAGTTGAGAAACCACCACTATCTACATCCAATTCTTGTGTACTGGGCTTATTTCTGGCCTCTTTACACTTACCCCACCCTCACCCCCGGTCTGTGATGCGTAGCACCTGTGTTGAACAGAGACCTTAAGGTATTCCTTAATAAGAGCAAGGAAGTCCTCATTTTTTTCTTTTCCAAAAAACCTTTTGGCTTTCCTTGAATACATCTTTTTCCACATGACTCTTTAAATTCTTTTATTTGATTTTCTCACCTTCAACTTTTCTCCACCCCTTACCAAAGAGAGAGAGAGAGAGAGTGAGAGAGAGAGAGAGACTGAAATTTTAGTTGGAAATGCATTAAATTCATAGGTTTAACTTTGATAGAACTGACCCTATTATGATATAAACTTTTCTTGATCAATATGAAAAAGGCACTTGTTAAGATTTGAATATAAATAATAGTGAAGGGGAATAGAAGGGAAGGGAGAAGAAATGTGTGGGAAATATCAGAAAGGGAGACAGAACATAAAGACTCCTGACTCTGGGAAACGAACTAGGGGTGGTGGAAGGGGAGGAGGGCGGGGGGTGGGGGTGAATGGGTGACGGGCACTGAGGGAGACACTTGACGGGATGAGCACTGGGTATTATTCTGTATGTTGGCAAATTGAACACCAATAAAAATAAATTTTAAAAAAAGATTTGATTTTACAGCATTTAAAATGACTTTACAGCTTATATGGTTTAATATCGTGTTGTTAGTTTGGAGAGCCACTACTGGTGCATTCAAGGAGTCTATTTATCCAGACACATCGCTAAACCTATGTATTGATTCTAATAACTTTTTGAAAAATGAGAATTTCTTAGGTTTTCTAGATCCATCATCATATCACCAAAAGATAGTCTTCTCTGTTTTTTTTTTTCCCACATGCTTATTGATTATGTTCTTATTTGTCACTGGTGTCAGGACCTCCAGGACAGCGTTGAGTGAAATAGTGACATCAGCATTCTTATTTATGATTTTAACAGAAATGGCTTTAGGGTTGCCATTTTAAAAAAAGATTTATTGATTTATTCATGAGAGACACACACACAGAGTCAGAGACATAGGCAGAGGGAGATCTGATCCCAGATCCTGGGATCACACCCTCAACCACTGAGCCACTCTACAGGTGTCCATAGGGTTGCCATTTTTTGGGTGATGTTTCCTGTCTCTATCACAGGGACATAGATTCCTTTCATTGGTATTTTAATATTTATTAGTTGTGGCTCCTAAATGTTATCAAGTTCCCTGTTGGTGTCAATTGATAGAATCAAAAGATTGTTCCTTATAGGTGTCATGAATTACACCGGAAGTTTTCTTGCTATTGAAACATCTTGGAAGAAACCCTGCTTGGTTATGACCTATTAGTCCTTCATGACACTGTTGTATTCACTCTGTTAATATCATCTTTGGATTTCCTTTAAAATCTATATTTGTAACTTGGATTGGTCTTTAACTTTCTTTGGAGACCTGCCTGTTCAGGGTTTCAGCATGAAGGTTATGCCAGCTTCACAAAATGAGTTCTGGAGCTGGGACTTCTGGGTGGCTCAGTAGTTGAGCGTCTACCTTTGGCTCAAGTCGTGATCCCGGGGTCCTGGGATCGAGTCCCACACCAGGTTCCCCATGGGGAGTCTGCTTCTCCCTCTGCCTGGATCTCTGCCTCTCTCTCTGTGTCTCTCATAATAAATAAAATCTTTAAAAAATGATTTCTGGAGCTGAAACACCTGAAGGAGTCCTGGAAGTGTCTGCTGGGTAAAGGCTGGCTGGAATTTGGCTGGCTGATCAGCACCTGGTCCCCTTACCAGGCTAGACATTCAGCTTCTCTGGAGTGGTGTCAGGTTTTTACTCATTGCTTCCAGCTTTTCAAATTTGTTGCCATGCTATTACCATTAAAGAGGACAAACACCCTTGTGATTATGTCTTCTTATTCCTACTCTTGTGTATTTTTGCTCTTTTTTTCTTTCATTAGCTTCATAATGGGGTTATTGATTTTCTTGGCCTAAGAACGAAAGTTTGGTTTATCATCCTCTGGCTTTCATTTTCATGGTTCTTTATAGTTTGCAAAGGTTGCATTTTCAGTAGAGAGAAGAGATTCAGGAACATTGTGACTTGTCCAAGGTCCCACACCTGTTAGCAAGTGGCCAAGCTGGGACTGCAGCCAGGCCCCTGACTCTAGGCCACATGAAGACTCTGGAGGACAGGAGGCTTCAGGGAGTCTACCAGTGGTAAATGGCTCCTCTCCTCAGGTCTCTTAGTTCTGTTTGCTTCCCTTCCATTGCCTGTCCCTTTATCTTTTGCTTCAGTTTCTTAAGCATAAGGCTTCTCTCTGATAGGCTGGGAATTCTTCTGGGGGAAGATGTGCCCCTGTGACCAGGAGATGTGTGGGGGTTTGGGGTGAGTATGGACTGGACTCTGGAGCTGGATGGCCTGGCACCCATCCCCACTGTGCTGTGTGCACCTGTGTCTGTTTTCTCACCTGCTGGAAATGACCCACAGCAGTAGTCCCCAACCTTGGAGGGTTGTAATGACGATTACATAAATAAAGGCAGGTCCTGGTCTGAAACCCTGATGACCAGGTGTCTCAGAATCCAGAAGTTTTAGGATTTTTAGCAGCATATATACTTCATTATGTGACACCTCTCTCCCCTGCTCTGAGTCTTGGACAACAGAATATTTTACAATCAAACACAGCAGTATTTCTGTAGTGACAGACATGCATACCACATTGGATGGGGCAAAGCTTCTATATAGTCTTTCCTTTTGGTTCACAGCAAGTTTTGCTGCCAATGAATTTGGTGCAAACTTTTGAAAAACCTAGCAGTTTTAGGACTTTTTCGATTTCAAAATTGCAGGTAAGGGACTATGGACTGTGCAGGCTAACTCTTGGGACAATCTTGTCATGGGGTTAGCGCCAGGCAAGCCAGCTGCTATTATGCCCGTAGCACTCAATGCCCAGTTTGTAGCTGGCTCAAAGTCAAGTCTGCTGGATGCTTGCCCACCTGTCCCCAGAAGGAGCCCCGGGGCAGCAGCCCCCTGCACAGAACTACATCTAGTCCTGTCCTGCGTGTTCTTTCTTCCTGTCTGCATACCAGCTGTCACAATGTGCTGGGTGCTCTGAGGAAGCAGAGGGCAGCCAGGAATTGGAGAGATGAAGCTCTGCCCCTGCCTCCTGTCACCCAAACTGGTTCTCTTTCTCCTCCTCCATCATCATTAGTAAAAACAAGAATCCACGGGCATTAGGGCACTAGAAGGGAGCATTGCAGGACTGGCCTGCTTCCTGACCTCCATGATGCACCCTGGTGGCCATGGTCTCCAGCTCCTCTCCCAGCTTCACCTGCCAGGCCCCCTTTTGCTGTTTTGACCTGGGGCCCCTGGTCAGGATGCTGGGCGGGTGGGAGGGATGTAGTATGTTACCCCAGGGCAGGTCCTTAGCAGAGCACCTGGCCCTGCCAGCAATCTGTCGAGTGTACCTTGGGGAGGGGAGCCCTTTCTGCTTCTCGTGGCCAGCCCTCCCCACAGCTGCCAGGAAGCCCTAAGATCTTGTTTTCCTGGTCCATCTGGCAGAGTCTCAGCATTCAGTACCCTCCTTAGGAGATGTGAGAAGAGTGGCCTCCTCCTCCTGGAGGTTAAGGTGGAGACACCCAGGGAACTCCTGCCTAGGCCCTGGCTGCCCCAGAGCTGTCTAGGAAAGGAGCAAGGTAGGCAGCCTACCTGGATGGCAATGGGGACAATCTTGTTGGCCAGATTCTTGTACAGCAAGCAGATGGGTGCTGCCAGGAACTGCAGAGTGCAGGGGTCTGTTTTGTTGGCATCGATACCATCCAGCAGGTCAAAGTCTACGATGAAGATGTTCCCTTGCTGTGGGAGGCAAGAGGAAATGTGTCCACATCATTCCCAGCTGGAGATGGACCTGAGGCTCGGGCCCAGAGAGAGGGAGAGGTGGCTCTAGAGGCCCCTAGTGTCTGATTAGGGTCAGAATTTACAGTTTTGTTCTCTGACTCTAGGCCAATTGACATCCAGAACGTTCAGAGGTTGTGGCGGTTTTCTGGTAATGGGAAGGATGTATTGTCACTGGAAGCTGCTTGACCCTCAGGGAAGATGCTAGCAGTGGCAGGGTGGCAGTGTAATAAGGAAGCAGACAGAGTGCAGACAAAACAGACACGAGAACGCAAATACAGAAGAGCACCGCGCCCAGCCTCCGTTACGTAGTGTCACAACCTGGTCACCTTTGGGAGGAGAAGTGGGGGTGGCTCTTTGGTGGTGGAAGCTTCTGCAGGGGGTATCTGCAGGGGCAGGATCTAGAGAGGCAGGGTTCGGGGAGGGAGTCTTTAGGGCTTGGGGGAGGGTAGGCTCTTCAGGGGCAGGAGGGGTCTGTATCCCTGGATGGTGTGTCCTGTGTCCTGGTCTGAGGCTGGTGGCATGGTGGGGCCATTTGGTGAAAATTCACTGAGCTTGCTGACACTCCTGATTTGGGTTCTTTTCTGTGGTTATTATACTTCAAAAAAAAATTAACTTGCTAATGGGATTTGAGGAAGGGAGAAAGCTACTCTGCAGAATATTGTTCAGTCTTCTACAGGGAGCCCACCCTGAGGGCTGTGAGGGTTCCTTTCATAAACTTGAGGTCTACTCAGGCCAGAACTTGAAGAATTTGGGTAGAGGACAGGTGGCGCTTCTTCTAAAGCCCTTCTTATTTTAAGCAAGTAATGGATGCAGCTGGGGAGGGGGGTGGGCTCTGAGCTGCTGCAGGGTTGCCAAGTTTCCACAGGTGCTCAGGTGAGATGTGTGTCCACAACTCTGCCTGTAGAGGGCGTGCTGGGCCACGGAGCACAGGCTTCAGGAATCCCTCTAAGGGGGACCAAAGACCAAAGATGGGACAGGAGCCAAGGGCCTGGCCACCAGCTTCCTCCTTTTTCGACCCAAAGGACCATGGATGGCAGTCATCTGACACCAGTGATGAGCTCTGAGCAGTCTGTCTGCAGTGTGTGTGGGGCAGGGTTGAGGAGGATGGGGTTTGTGCCCATTGCTCGCTAGGGCAGGAGCACGGAGAGAAGCTGGTTTCAGGAGAGTGTGTGATGGGGCCCCTTGGAATCACCTTGTCAAGGAGGTAGAGACACATGGGCTGCTGGGTCACAGGGCTGGGTGGGCTTCTGTGATAGGCTGGACAACTGGATTTTCAGAGTGGACATGACCATCGTGAGTACTGCACAGGAGTGGCTGCCGATCACATCTCGAGAAGACCGAGGTTAGTTACGGTGATGAGGGCAGGCTAACAAGGGGCCCTGGGATTTGGACCTGTGCCTGGGCCACTTCTCTGTTATCCCAAGCCACTTCCTCTCTCTGGGTCTCGGTTTCGTCTTTCCGAAAAGTGAGGGGGGAAAACCTATCTCTTAGTTCTGACATTTGGGGATTCTGCAGTGGACACTGATGTTCTTGCCTGTCTGGTGTCCCTGTCCTCTCTTTTTTGGCCCACATGCTCCATTTTCCTGGCCCTAATAACTAATTCAGGGAATTAAGACTTGTGTTGTAGGAGATGAGAGGTCTGCAAAAGATGGCTGGTATGTGTGTAAGAGACGGTATGTGAAAGATGGTGTGTAAGACTCTAGTCAGTGGCAGCTATTAGCTTATTGCTTTGAGACTCAAGTCCATCACTCAGGAAAGGTGACTATTGTGACAAAGATGGCCAGCCGTGGAAGTGGCAAGGACTCCCAAGCAGACGCTGTGTAGCCCCCTGCCAGAGGGCTACACAGTCCCTTCCAATTCTAGGATTCTGTGGCTTTCAAGGTTCTGATTCTCTGACTTGAAGTGTGAAACATATAGCCACTGAATCAATGTTAATCCATCCAGAAATTAAGTCTACAGGGGAATACTGCTGTGTGTGCATGCATGTGTGAGTATGTGCCCGTGTAGGGGTGTGTGTGGTCCTGGTTAGCTGTCCATGTGAGTAGGTAGTGTCTGGGGCCTGGGCTGGTCCAGGGTGAGGGGGTTGGGACTGCTGCCCTGGGGCAGGGGACTGTGAGCTGGGCAGGTGGCCCTCTAGAGTCTGGTGGGCAGGGTGTCGAGCTGGGAGGGTTGTCCACAGATGCACAGACCATCCATCTCTAGCTGGGGCCCCAAGGCAAGCTGAGCAAATCAGACATGATGACCAGAAACAGAAGGCCACCTAGACACCTGCGGGGCAGGGGGCAGGAGGCCCCCTTGTCCTGGCTCTGGGGGAAGATACTAACCGCCTGGAGAGCAAGCACTATTCTGGGCCCTCAAATCCCTGCGGGTGAGCCAGAGGAAGAGCAGGGGAGAGGGTGAGGGCAGAAGCAGAAGACACCAACATTTCTAATTTGAAAGTTAAAAATTCCATCCATTTTCTCCCTCTTTTCCTCTTCTGCTGCAAGCTTGCTCCTTTCTCCCATTTCCTTACCTTTGCAAGGCTGGCGACAATTTTGCAGCCTTGTGTGTAAAGCCTCTCTCATGAAGCCTGGCTCACAACCAGCCTCTACTGAGAGGGACCCCTCTTTTAATTAATGATACTGCTATTGAAAATACTGACATGTTCCTAGCTCCAAGCACTGAGAAATGTCACCCTCAATTCCTCCTCCTACATTGGAAATTTTCCATCAGTGCCCAGGGAAGGGAAGAGACCACTTTACCGAGGGCAGCTCATCTCATCAGCCTGGCCGATGAGCCTGGACATAGCAGCCTGCAGGCTGGTGAGCATCGGCGGGCAGAAAGTGGTCTCTGCCTGACAGAGTGTGACCTGGCCATCTGAGCTGGCCTGGCCGAAGTCACCAGACAACCAGGTCCTACCTCGACCTCTTGCTCCAAGGTGAGCTGCCGCTCCAGACTGCACTCCACCATCTCTGTGGTCACAGGGAGCTTCTCGGGTAGCTTCTTGCAGCGCTGGATCAACACTGGGTTGCAGCCATTCAGGAACTGGTAGCCAAACATGAGGTCTTCCTGCCAGTGGTTCATGACACGCTCTGTAGGGGAGAAAATTGTGGCCCTGCCTGAACTCTGAGTGGGGGCAACCCAGGTTGCAGCCCTTCTGACCCTGGCTGAGGGTCAGCGTCCCTGCTGGGTACCTTCTCGCAGGGGTTTGCTAGGCAGCTGGTCAACCACAGATTCCCCTGGCTATGCCCTATTGCTTGACCACAGGGTCAGGCCACGCCACTATGTTGTCCTCCCTGAACCACCCTTGGTGCCTCAGAAGGTTTCTGAAGAATTCTTTTCTTAAGAACAACACCAAAAAATGGACAAATTGGATTGCATCAAACTAAAAAAGCTCTGCACAGCAAAGGGAACAGTTAACAGGGTAAAAAGACAACTTAGAGAATAGAGGACATTTGCAAACCAACCATCTGATAAAGGGTTAATCTCCAAAATATGTAAAGACTCCCACAACTCAATTAAAAAAAACTAATAATCTGATTAACAAATGGGCAAAGGACTCGAACAGACATTTCTCCAAAGAAGACATACAAATGGCCAGCAGGTATATGAAAAAATGCTCAATATCACTAATCATCAGGGAAATGCAAATTAGAACCACAATGATATATCACCTCATACCTGTCAGGATGGCTATTATAAAACCAAAAGACAACAGGTGTTGGAGAGGATGCAGAGAAACTGGAACGCTTGTGCACTGTTGGGGGAATGCAAAATGTGTGGCCACTATGGAAAACAGTAGAGTGAGTTCCCAAAAAATTAAAACTAGAACTCCTATGTGATCTAGTGATCCCACTTCTGGGTATTTATCCAAAAGAATTTAAATCAGGATCTGGAAGAGATATCTGCACTCCCGTGGTCACTGCAGCGCACTTCATAACAGCTGAGATGTGGAAACAATCTTAAAAAAGGAAGGATGTTCTGCAGTGTGTGACAGTGTGGATGAACGTGGAGGTCAGCATGCTACGGGAAGTCAGCCCGTCACAGAAAGACAGATACTGCAGGATTCCACTTACACGTGGTATTTAACACAGTCACACTCATAAAATCAAAGAGTGGAATGGTGGTTGCCAGGGGCTGTGGGAGGGGAAACGCGGAGTCACCAATCAGTGAGCATGAAGTTTCAGTTGAGCAAGATGAAGTCATTCTAGAGATCTGCAGTACGACACTGTGCCTGTAGAGGAAAGAGGGACTTGGGTCCTTCTGTCCAGGGTGGAAGGAGAAGGAGGGAGAAGGAGGGGAGCAGAGAGCCCTCCTGGGGAGGAGTCTGCAAAGGCAGTTTTCCCCAGGTGCTTCTTTCTTTCTTTTTTTAAAGCTTTTCTTTTTCTTTTCTTTTCTTTTCTTTTCTTTTCTTTTCTTTTCTTTTCTTTTCTTTTCTTTTCTTTTCTTTCTTTTCTTTCCTTTTCTTTCTTTCTTTCTTTCTTTCTTTCTTTCTTTCTTTCTTTCTTTCTTTCTTTCTTTCTTTGAGAGAGAGAGAGAGAGAGAGAGGTGGAGACACAGGCAGAAGGAGAAGCAGGCTCTATGCAGGGAGCCTGATGTGGGACTCGATCCCAGGTCGCCAGGATCAGGCCCTGGACTGAAGACAGCGCTAAAGCACTGAGCCACCTGGGCTGCCCCCCAGGTGCTTATTTCAATGCCCGTTTTTCATCATCCTTCCTGTTTCCTTATCTTTCTGTTGCTGTTTTTCCCTGGGCCAACCCCGGCAATTACGATGCTATTGCGAGCCAACACCTACTCAACACCTCCGAGTCTGAGGGAACCTAAAGTTGCTATTAGGTAAATGCTTTAAAAACACACTTAAGTTCTGCCTTTCCTCTGCTCAGAAGTATCATAAATGAGCGATTCATGTAAACACAAAGTTCTGACCGTGTTGAGACCTCTGATGATGAAGTGAGGTGGAGGGAGCTCAGTCCCGAATGTCCAAGGAGGAGAGGCCTCTGGGCGTGAGGGTGATCAGCAGGGTGCTGTGGGCGCTGGGGAGGCCAGGGCGGCCCGGCCTGCTGAGCCTGCTGCCACACTGGAGTGGGGGGTGGAGGGGTGGGCTAGTTCCCAGGCCAGTCTCCCTAGCACCACGAGAGAACCCCAAGGCACACTCACCAGAAATAGTGTTGCTGATCTTGACGAAGATCTTCTCAAAATCAGCGAAGTCACTCCAAGAAGACTGGAACATGTGCATGAAGCGGTTGATGAACAGGTTCTCCATCCTGCAGGCCAGGAGACCACATCCCCACTTGCACTCATCCTGGCTTTGCCCCCCCTCTCCAAAGCCCCTTCACCCTGTGTCTCCTGAGGCCTCTGAATACCCCCTGGGCAACAGGTAGCTGAACCCAGGACAGCTGTGAGGGCACAGCTGATGGGCCTTGAAGAACCAGGACACAGACAGGCACCTGTGCTTATCTTCCTACTGCGTCTCCCCGTGAAGGAACCTGACTACTGCCCTTGAGAACAGTCTATAGGGCCTCCAACCCCATCCATGCCTGCTTTCATCCACACCTTCATTCATTCATCAAACTTTTGCAGCCCCCGCTTGGTGCAAGCTTCCAGGCACAGAGTGCCCTAGCTGCTGTGCAGCTACCCTAGCTAGTCTCCTGGAGTTTTAGAGGATTTGCAGTTTGATTGACTTTATCCCTTATCTACTTTCTGCCTAATCCTGACTCTGTGCCTGGTGCTGAGGGAGATAGTTTTCCCAATGCTCATTATGCGGGGTAGCAAAATAAGCCAGGACAGAAGCGTGATAAATTCAAAATGCAGGCTGCAGGCACTAGAGAGTGAGATCTGAGTGGTCTGAGCAATCCTGGGGGCCTGCTGGAGGAGGTAACTGTGGGATGGGCCTGGGAAAGGTAGGGAATCGTGAAAGAGGTATCCCAGACTTCCCTCCTAACTCGAGCAAGGTACAGGACAGAGGTTAGGAAATTCCAGCCAGTGCTCATGTGACACCCTCTGCCTCAGTCTGGCACACCCACAGCTGAGGGTACCAGGCAGTTATCCCATTTCATCCCCACTGCCCACTCCAGAGTTCAAGCCCCCTACTTGCGCTGCCTTTCGTACGTGCCTTTGCATGTACTGCTCCCTCTGCCTGGAATGCCCTGTGCTCCTTTCTTCTCCTCCTGAGCCTCTGGGGTTGAGTGTATATGCAGGGCTTGCCTAGAGTGCCCCCAGTCCTCCCCTGACCTCAGGGAAGTTGCTCCTTCCCTGCCCAGACCAGGCTGCCCCATGACACTGTCTCAGCAGCGCCAATGGCAGATTCTGTACAAAGCCACGCATGTGGCTCTTGGCCTCTGCCTGAAGCACCAGGAGGGCGGGCTGAGTCCGCATGCTCAGCGCTGAGCCTAGGCCTCCAGGTTCCCGGTGGCTCGGGCAGCCTGGATCGCTGGGAGGGACAGCAGGTACCTGGGGCAGGAGACCCCCCTCCCCATCCAGCCACCTCCCCAGCAGGGCCAGCAGACCTAACCCTGCCCAGAGGAAGCAGCCCTAACCTGTGCAGGTCCAGGGCTGTCCTGGGACCCGCTCCTTGGGGGGGATGGCGTGGCGGTTGGGGGACAGGGGAGGTGCTGGCTGGGGCCTGAGTGTTGTTGCAGGAAGGTGTGTGAGTTCCAAAGCCACCTCAAGCCTTTCCCATCAGAATCAAAGGACTGAGGTTTGGGTGTTTTGTCCCAAGCGGACCTGGCTGATGAGGACATGTGGCTGCCTCATCCCAGGGAAGTGACCTGGGAGCAGGCATGAGGGCAGCAAGTCTGAGTGGCTGAATGCAGGGACTTAGCAGGCAAGCAGGAAATGCAGGGGCCCCTCCCAGCCCTGCCAGACACAGGAAAGGCACGTGAGGCAGAACATGACACCTATGACTCCCCTTTTGCTAGATGGTCCCCCCTCCCTCTAGCAAATGTTTCTCCTCTGCACCAGCCCTCCCCCACCTCCCAGGAGCCGGAGGAGCCCATGCTGGGAATCCCTAGGGGCCTGGACTTCTCTTCTGTGAGTGGGATGAAGCGGCTGCCTGCAGGCTATCGAGAGGCAGTAGTGCTTGGAAGGTGCTGGAGTGCAGCCTGGACAGTGTGGTGCACTCAGCAGGTGCCCAGCACCTCGGGGCTGGAGAATGATGCTGGACTGGTTCTCCAGGCCCCGCTGGTACCGTCAACACTTTTACCCTAGCCCCTCTCCAGGAAGGAGGAGCTTTGACACACACGTTTGGGTTTTTTTTGGTTTGTTTTTTTTTTTTTTTTTTTTTTTTTCACGACTGCTTATTTTCCACACATGCTTTTGGGCCTCACCACAGTGAGGCAGGCCCCTGGCTAAGCCTTTCAGGACTGTCACCCCTTCCTCTGCCAGCATCCACTGTCCTCCTCCACCTCCCTTGTCAGCTGAGCCTCCCGGGACAGAAACCACTGGTAAACCAGAGGAATAAGCCTCACTGTGACATCCACTTCAGACTGGGTGTGGAAAAACACTCATTTCTGGGAGAGGAGAGGCCTTCCCAGGTCTCAGCGGTCTCAGCAGTCCCCCGCCCTCCCCACCCCAAGCCCAGTGCCAAATGGTGCCCAGGAAAGAGGTCCTTGTGGGGAACCGAGAGTGAGTCATAGTCCTTGGCTCATCGTCTCCCCAGCTGGGTCTCTCTGACCTTGAAAGGTTGGCATGAAAACGGGGGCGGGGTATAGCGGTACTCAGAGGAAGCCACCAATTCAGGAAGAAGTGGAGTTAGGAGGAAAATATTTGCATGTCATCTGGAGGCAAAATATTTCTACATGCTTATAGACAACTAGAATATTGGGACCAAGGATCTGTTATTGCATGAAGAGGAACCTGCAGCCTCAAGAGTGCACCTGGCTCATTCAAGGTCACACAGCCAGGCAGGGACGTGCACTGGGCTGCTTGCTGTGCCACGAGAGGGCTGAGCCCTTGCCTCCTCTGCTTCCCCTGCTCCTTTCCTTCTAGCAGCTTCTCCATTTTCCACCTCACAGTTTTGTTGTTTGGAGTGGGAGGCAAAGCTTACTGAGGAGGGCTGGCCTCATCCCAGCCAGAGCAGGCAGCTGAGACGAAACAAGTTACCAGATTTACCCAGAAGTGGCATGGAAACTGAACTGCCCAAACCTGGAGGTTCGATGAGGAAGGTCTCTCTGCTGACCTCAGCCACAAGTCTGTTTTCCTCAGGCAGGACTAGGTTTAGCCATGGGCAGAGTGGCACGCTATGGAGTGGGCTACAGGGGCACAGGCTAGCGAGGCCCTGGGGCGGAGGGTTCTCTCTGGAACTGTCCACCCAGAGCCAGCTGCTGGGCACTTGGGTGTCTTTTCCCCATCAGACCACTAGGGGGCTGGACCCGGGGTCTTGGACTCTCCCTCTTCCCCCACCCAAGTGCTGGCGTCTGGCCCAAGACTGGATGCGTCTGGGAGTCCCTGAAAGATGGCAGCTGAGATGGTGCTGGTAGCACAAGGTGTCAAGGGCCTGGCCTAAGAACCCAGCCCCATTGCTTCCCAGACACGTGGCCTTGGGTAAGTCCCTGATCTTGCTGTGTCTCCGTTTTCTCACCTGTGAAATGGGCACAATGACAGTCCCTGCCTCACAGAGTCGACGTAATGTTCAGAAGACTCTGTACATAAGAAGAGTTCAACAAACATTAGCAAGTAGTGCCATAATCGTCACTCACTGTTAATATTAGTCTGCAGCCTTCGGCACTGGCATTCTGGGGAACCAGCAGACAGGCTGGTTGTCTGCAGCGCAGCACTTTACCCCCCTCCTTTCCCTGGGGCTTCTTGTTCTATTCCTCTTTCCTCCTTCACACCCAATTCATGGAAGAATCTTCACCTACCTACTCCTTTTTACTTCCTGTCCCCTTTGCCCCCAAAAGTGCTCTCATCCAGGGCACCAGTGACTTCTTAGTGGCTGCATCCAAAGGGCCCTATAGTCGACTCTAAACTCCCCTGATTTCTCTAGTGCATCTGACAACCAACTCCTTTCTTCTTGACATTAAAATGCTGAGCCTCTTGGACCACCATGGTCCTACTCCCCTCCACCCCCTGCCAGGTAGAGGCTGAGCTCTTTGCCCCCTTCCTGTCTTGATAGCCTCAGCCCCTCTTCCCCACATAGGTTTCTACTCTGGTCCCCTGGCTCACCAGAATTCTCACTGCCTAAAATGCCATCCCCTCCACTCCTCCAAGCAGTGTAAATTCCTATGTATCCTTCAAAACTCAGGTTGGGCATCTTCTCTCTTGGAAAGCATTTTTCTGATGCTGTCCCCCGCCCCCCAGAGTTACTTCCTCCCTGCCTCAAGTTCCCCCAGCACCCCTTCCCTAGGGAAGAGCTACTACATGCCATTGTATGTAGTATCCATTGTATGCAGCTATCTACAACTTGGTCTCCACTAGACTCTGAGCTTCTTGGAGTTGGGACCAGAGGGCCACTTTTGATTCATCTTGGACCTCACCCCCAGGAGCTCCATAAACATTTGTTAAAGGAGGAGCAGCAGTAGCTCCCCCAGCCCTGCTTGCACGGGCATAGAGGAAGCCCAGAAGAGCTCGCAAGTGGGCAGTGACAGTGCCTGAGGAGGCAGCTCCCAGCTGGGCTCCTTCCTTGGGCTCAGGAATGAGGAAAGAGTCCTCCCAAGCACCCAGAATGGATACACTAGAGGGAACTCGCCTATGGCATATCAGACATCACCATGGGGGCATCGCATAGGTGAGTTCATGGAAATCTCATAACAATTCCAGCAGCTAGGCATCATCAGCCTCATATCGTAGGGAGGAAACTCAGGGTCAGGACACTGAAAAGACTCTCCCAAGATGACACAGCTAGAATTTTTATCAACCCTAGCTGCTGGGCTCTAAATAGGCAGCCTTTAGTTTTTAAAGGGTGATGAATCATGGGTTGATACTTGTTGCTATAATTCTAAGAGATCAATAGATGTTTTTTTTTTTTCCCAAGAAAGCAAAATACAACCTCACTATTCTGAGTCTGGTCCAGGAACCAGCAGCACCAGCATCACATGGGGGCTTGCTGGGAATACACACTCGATCCCCATTCAGACCCAATGATCAGAACTTGTGTCTACCAATGTCTCATGCGGACCCACATGCACGTGAATGTCTGAGAGATGCTGTCTGGACCCACACTCCCTCACCAGGCAGCCTGGCTGCTTGTCCTTACTGTCTTAAGCAAGGAGGCTTGGAGCAGCTGCCCGGTATCCTGGAGGAGCCCAGCTGCCCTAGAATAAACCTTGCCAAAAGAGCCACATTCAGTTAAAATTGCACCTTCCTTCATTGAGTTTGTTTCATAGTAGAAATCAGTATTTTCTTTTTCTACTCCCAGGGCAGGCTTGAGGTAAGTGTGGGGGAGGGGCACAGGAGAAGAAAAGGCAAGGGTTGCTGGTACCTACAAGAGTTCTAGGGTCCAGACATCCAGCAGGTGCTACGTAAATGGCAGGTGAGCTAAAGTAAAGGGCAGAGAAGGACACAGGGAAGCCAAGAAGACGGAAAGGTTCTGCCTCCTGTCCCCCGAGGGCCACCTGCTCTGGGAGGCCTCCAGCCCACAAAGGAAAGCCAGTCTGAGGAGATGGGAGAGCACAGGGATATTAAGCAGATTTTTTTTATGCCAGGGTTTCTCAAGGCCTTACAATCCTGGGGGGCAGGGGTTCACAGTATGCTCCCCAGACCAGCAGCATCAGCAACCCCTGGAATTAAAATGCAGATTATCAGGTCCTGCCTCAGCCCTCCTGCATCAGAAACTATAGAAATGGGTCGAGAAATCCTGATTTTTAACAAGCTCTCCAGGGGATTCTGATGAGGTTGCAATGTTTTCCAAAGTAATTTGACCACAGAACAAGCTCTTTTATAGGGAAACCATATTTAATGCTTTGTGTTATGTCTTCTTTTATGACCCATTTTTAACTACACACACAAAAATGCTACTTTAGCAAATATAACTAAAATGTCTCAGGTCTAACTTAGGTGGGAATATCTCCTCTACATTTCCCAACATATTTATCTTCCAATGGGATGCATCTCTGACTGTCTAACAAAATTCGATAGAGGCAAACAGGGTTAATATACAGACATGCAGACATCAGTTGGAAGAAGCAGGAGATAGTTTTTAAAACTTCCAATATTAGGGGATTTTGGATGGCATTTGTTAGGTTAAGGGGGAGGACACTATTATCTATGAGTATTCTGGTGATGTGCAGCCAACTTGCAGCCAACTTGTTTCTGAGCTGGGGTGGTAGTAGGAGGGAATGGGGTCTTCTTTCTGCACAGAACTCATGGCTTTAGTTTCTGGAGAAATGAAAGGCCCCACCATGGGCCTCACTATGCTGCTTCCCTGCTTTCCTCCTCCTTCTCTGCTGGAACTACCCCCAACCAGTGTCATCCCTTCCGTCCCTTCTAGGCTCCTGCTCTTCAGCATCTCAGGCGCCTGAGCCTTCTCTTCACCACCAACTCCTTTCAAGGAGCCACACATGTGATTTTGTCTGGCCTTCAACTAGCAGCAGTGACCTGTGTAGGGGGCTGGGAGCAGGCAGTGATCGGGGCTATGGCCAAGGGGCTATGGTCCTACCCCTCCTGGCCCTCCCCAGTACACGATCTCTGGCCCTTGGCCTGAGCCTGCAAGACATCACCAGAGGCTACACGGGGCTCTTAACCTCAACGAGACCCCCATGCTGGGCTTGTCTACCCCACTCCTTCCCCAGCTGCCCTATGTAATGACCACTTTGTTTCCCCAATCAGCCAGATGCATAGGTCAAGGATGCCTCAGTGCCTCCTAATTTTGACCTGAATCCCAGGTCCATCCACACCACAACCTGCATTCCTTCCTCACTCCCCTAGTCCCTCTTTGGTCACTCCCTTCACCACCTCTGGGTCCTCTCATCTGACCCTTGGAGGCTGCCAAGCCAAGCTCTCACATCTCCCTGAACTCTGCAAATGCAGGTCTGGAGGAGTCCGGGCAGACTGTGGCAGCACTTCTGATGCTGCCTACCTAGGTAGCCATCTGTGGTTACAGTGAGGTGTCCCTGGTGACCTCACGGAGAAGGGTGCTCCTTCAAGGAGCAGCCTCCACCTGATTCCATCTGATGGGAAATGCACAGGAGGTGAAGGTTTGAGCACCTTGGTCTTGGTGCGAGGCTGGTCACCTCCTCTGGAGCTCAGTCACATTTCTGCACTGTTCTACCTTACTAGGAAGGAAGCTCTCTTTCTCAATTTCCTTTAAAGGGACATTCCCTTATCAGCCCACCAACTTCCTGCAATCAAGTTCTAGTCTGTAAACACAAGTGGTGACTAAACACACAAGCTGTTCCTCCTTCAATACCAGGAAATGTTACAAGCCACTTGATTCTGTGAAAAGGCCCAGCCACAACTGACCTTTGCATAAGCTACCCCCTCTGCCAGAGCATCCTTGTCCCATTCTTCTAGGCCCCTGCCTCTGTCTGCCTGGTTGGCTGCAAGGCCAGGCCAGATGCCTTTCTGCTGTGAAGACTTCCTGGGTTCCATAACAAGATAACACCAGACAAAGTGAAGGATACTCTGTGAGTCCTTGAGGGCAGAGGCCAATCTGAGGGAGCAAGTATGTGATGATGGAGACCTGGGTCCTGGCTGGCCTGACCCCATTACTAAGAATGGATGGAAACTAATGCTGTTTTGAGGGAGAACCTTCTCTGTGTGGGGTTGACTTATGTGGCCTCATTATATTCTCACAACAACCCTGGGTAGGATCTGTGGTCTCATTCTTCAGATGAGACACTGAGGCTCTGAGAAGTTAGCTTCCCTAATATTACCTTCCACTGGCCCAGAGGCCTCTCCCATCTGCCCCTCATCTCCTCAGGGTATGGGGTACATTGAGCTACCTCGCTGAGGTCCAGTCCCCTTGACTCAGGATGTACCCTCAAATGCAGAGAGCACATCTCTTATTTCCTTCTTAGAACCTCATGGTCCTCAGCCAGCAGAGGTAGGGCTTAGCTGGCCTGCTCAGCTGTGCTGTACCAGGAGGGGCTGAGGGCCCATCTAAAGATTCCTTTGCTATGTTCCTTTGCCAAACATTCCATAACTCAAGGGGCCAAGTTACGTGGCAGATGTAGAGAAGGATGGGCTATGGTATCATTGGAGAAATGGTGGCCTGTGTGGCCAGTACTGGGGAGCATAAGGGAGGAGACATCACTCAGGTCCAGGGGCTTCTAGGAGCTTCTGGGAGAAGGGCCACCTCATCTAGGTCCTGAAAAATGATGAATTGTATTTAGCCAGGCCAAGAAGGGAAGAATGGTTTCTGAGGTGGAGGGAATGGCACATGCAAAGACAAAGGGCATGAAGATGCCTTGCTAACTAGTTCTTGACACACATGGCTGGAGTGTCCTGTGCATCTGGGAGCAAGAGGGAAGGCAGGTGAGCCGGGCAGAGATGTGCAGGCTCTCACCCATAGTTGGGGTAATCATTGGAGGATTTTAGAAGGGGAGTAAAAGAATTATATTTGCCTTTGTAGAGGGAACTTCCAGCAAACTATGTGTGCACTTGAGAATGAACTTCCAATTGCTGTGTGGGATGGATCCTGGGGAAGCAGGTAGAAGGATGTTTCTGAATGTCCCAGGGAGGGATGACAGAACCTGAGGGAGACATGCATCCTGAGACCCCAGGAGATAGACATGACCCCACAGGCAACTGGGTGGAGGGGGAGGCCAAGGGAGGCATGGAGGCCAATGGTTTCAACCCTGACTGCACACTGGAGCCCCCAGGGGACTTTGAGAATATATGTAGAAGTGGCCTTGCAGATGCTGGTGTGAGAACTCCCTAAAGTGTCAAGACACAGCTCAAAGTCTCCTCTACTGGCCCTGGGATGGTTCTGGGGCTCCATATGTTTTAACGAGCACCCAAAGAGTTTCAGTAAAAGCCCTGCAGTAATTCAATCACAAAGAAGGAGCACAGAACTCATATCTCTGTTGTTTATCAGCCAGGGCCATTGGACAAGTTCTGTGACTTCCTTATTCCTCAGATTCTTCAACTGCAAAGTGAGAATAATAACCATGCCTGGCTCACTGGGTTGCTGTGACAGCCAGCCTGGGGATGGGTGTCAGTGGTCAGCGCAGGCATGGTGGCCATTTTTCCTGCAGAGCTTTGCTATCTAGGTACAGCCTGGGCCCCATCCACCCTTGAATTGGCCATGGGAGGATGAGATATGGGTGGGGATGGGACACTTCAAGTAAAGACCTCTACTTTGGGCTGACAACAGAGCTATGTTTGGTGTCTGGAGTCATCCAGGTTTTAATTTTGTTTAGATACAGGCCAACCTGTGGTTGTACACTGAGGATCCAGCATGGCCAAGATACAGTCAGATGATTTGGAAAGAGGTGCCCAGCTGAGCTGCTTCCTCATCCAAAGCACCCCCACCCCTGCCCCGAGAAAGGAGTGAGGATCTCACTCGCAGCCCCAGCCCCTGGAGGAGCTGCCCAGCATCCTTAGGTTCTTGGAAACTCACGCTTTAGAGTAGTTCAGAACAAAGTCCACACCCTTCTCGCTATCAAACTGGATGTCTCGGGGTAAATCCTTGTGACATTTGGCATCAATACTCAAAGGGAAGCCAGGGTTCCACTCCATCCACCTGAGCATGAATAAAAAGAAGAAAACTGCATCAAATGCTTGGCCTTTGGGTTAGCCCTCTGAGACTAAAGGCTGCTCAACTGGTCTGAGGATGTGTCTTCTATCAGGTCAATGCATTCTAGCTGAGTGTGTATCCTGGGAAGTACTGGGACCCCTCCCAGGGGCTGGCAGTAGCCTGCTTTGCTGTGCCCAGAGCATCAGAGTAGGAGGTCTGAGGTCCCCTGAACCTGAGACTGGGCTCACGGCAGAGGAGTAGTGAATGGTCGATGTTTACCAGTGTACAAAAAGAAGCCGAAAGGAAGCATCAGAAGACCTCACCCAACTGCAATCTCTCCCCTGGCATAGAGAAGCCTTGACGATCACTGGAGGTAGAAGTGGTTGATGCTACCCCACTTCTGGGCTGACCTGGACAGCTAGTATGCCCCCTGCTCAGTCAACACACAGCTGCACTGTGTTTGGTATGTGGGGAATGGGGGCAGGGTCATGTCCAGGGCAGCAGGGTGGTTCGATGAGGAGCTTCAGGCACAGACCACTGCTAGTGGTAGGCTTAGTCACTGTTATAACCAAAATAGCTTCCCCCAAAGACAGGCCATGCCAAAAATTTAAGGTCCCGGTGTCCTTGAAACTTATCCTGCAGCATTGATCACTTACATCTTTTTTTAATTTTACTTTTCTTAAATAAAGACTATTTTAGAGGTGCCTATGTGCCTGTGAGCATGGGGTAGGGAGGGCAGAGGGAGAGGAAGAGAGAGACTCTCAAGCAGACTCCCCACTGAGCACAGAGCCTGACACGGGGCTGGATCCCACAACCCTGAGATCATGGCCTGAGCTGAAATCATGCTTAACCAACTGAGCCACCAGGTGCTCCTTAAATTTTACTTAAAGATTTTTTTTCTTAAACTTTTCTTTCTTTGCTTATGCAAAACCCAAACTAACCAAAACTGTCTCTTTAGCATAGGGAGAATGATCTCATATTTCTTTAAAAACCAAAATTTACAATCTGGTTAACAGCTTTTCCCTTTGTATTCCTATTTTCCTTTTATTAAAATCTCCCTTGGGATGCCTAGGTGGCTCAGTGATTGAGCATCTGCCTTCAGCTCAGGTCGTGATCCTGGGGTCCGGGAATCAAGTCCCACATCGGGCTCCCTGCAGGGAGCCTGCTTCTCCCTGCCTATGTCTCTACTTCTCTCTCTGTGTCTCTCGTGAAACAATAAATAAAAGCTTAAAAAAAATATCTCTTATGTAAGGAAAGTAAAACACCAAGAGTTGAGGTCATAAAAAAGTTTGGAGTCCGTTTTTTTTAAGATTATTTATTTATTTATTCATAGAGAGAGAGGGGGCAGGCAGACACAGGCAGAGACACAGGCAGAGAGAGAAGCAGGCTCCATGCAGGGGGCCCGACGTGAGACTCGATCCTGGGTCTCCAGGATCATGCACCAGGCTGCAGGCAGTGCTGAAACGCTGCGCCACCGGTGCTGCCCTGGAGTCCCTTTAATATCATCTTGCATTTTATTTATTTATTTTTGAATTATTATTGTTTTTTATTGGAGTTCAGTTTGCCAACATATAGCATAAAACCCAGTGCTCATCCCGCCAAGTGCCCCCCTCAATGCCCGTGACCCCAACCCCCACCCACCTCCCCTTCCACTACTACTTGTTCATTTCCCAGAGTTAGGATTCTCTCATGTTTTGTCACCCTCACTAATATTTTCACTCATTTTCTCTCCTTTCCCTTTATTCCCTTTCACTAATTTTTATATTCCCCAAATGAATGAGACCATATAATGTTTGTCCTCCTCCGATTGACTCATTTCACTCAGCATAATACCCTCCAGTTCCATCCATGTCGAAGCAAATGGTGGGTATTTGTTGTTTCTAAAGGCTGAGTAATATTCCATTGTATAGATAAACCACATCTTCTTTATCCATTCATCTTTCGATGGGCACCGAGGCTCCTTCCACAGTTTGGCTATTGTGGACATTGCTGCTATAAACATTGGGGTGCAGATGTCCTGCCGTTTCACAGCTGTATCTTGGGATAAATCCCCAGCAGTGCAATTGCTGGGTCGTAGGGCAGGTCCATTTTTAACTCTTTGAGGAACCTCCACACAGTTTCCAGAGTGGCTGCGCCAGTTCACATTCCCACCAACAGTGCAAGAGGGTTCCCCTTTTTCCACATCCTCTAAATTGTTAATTTTCACCATTCTCACTGGTGTGAGGTGGTATCTCATTGTGGTTTTGATGTGTATTTCCCTGATGGCAACTGATGTGGAGCATTTTCTCATGTGCTTGTTGGCCATGTCTAGGTCTTCCTCTGTGAGATTTCTCTTCATGTCTTTTGCCCATTTCATGATTGGATTGTTTGTTTCTTTGCTGTTGAGTTTCATAAGTTCTTTATAGATCTTGGAAACTAGCCCTTTATCTGATAGGTCATTTGCAAATATCTTCTCCCATTCTGTAGGTTGTCTTTGAGTTTTGTTGACTGTTTCATTTGCTGTGCAGAAGCTTCTTATCTTGATGAAGTCCCAGTAATTCATGTTTGCTTTTGTTTCTCTTGCCTTCATGGATGTATCTTGCAAGAAGTTGCTGTGGCCAAGTTCAACGAGGGGTTGCCTGTGTTCTCCTGAGGATTTTGATGGAATCTTGTCTCACATTTAGATCTTTCATCCATTTTGAATTTATCTTTGTGTCTGGTCTAAGAGAATGGTTTAGTTTCATTCTTCTGCATGTGGATGTCCAATTTTCCCAGCACCATTTATTGAAGAGACTGTCTTTCTTCCAGTGGGTAGTCTTTCCTCCTTTATGGAATATTAGTTGACCATAAAGTTCAGGGTCCACTTCTGGATTCTCTATTCTGTTCCATTGATCTATGTGTCTGTTTTTGTGCCAGTACCACACTGTCTTGATGACCACAGCTTTGTAGTACAACCTGAAATCTGGCATTGTGATGCCCCCAGCTATGGTTTTCTTTTTTAAAATTCCCCTGGCTATTCGGGGTCTTTTCTGATTCCACACAAATCTTAAGATGATTTGTTCCAACTCCCTGAAGAAAGTCCATGGTATTTTGATAGGGATTGCATTAAATGTGTAAATTTCCCTGGGTAACATTGACATTTTCACAATATTAATTCTTCCAATCCATGAGCATGGAATATGTTTCCATCTCTTTGTGTCTTCCTCAATTTCTTTCAGAAGTGTTCTGTAGTTTTTAGGGTATAGACCCTTTACCTCTTTGGTTAGGTTTATTCCTAGGTATCTTATGCTTTTGGTTGCAATTGAAAATGGGGTTGACTCCCTAATTTCTCATTCTTCAGTCTCATTGTTAGTGTATAGAAATGCCACTGATTTCTGGGCATTGATTTTGTATCCTGCCACACTGCCAAACTGCTGTATGAGTTCTAGCAATCTTGGGGTGGAGGCTTTTGGGTTTTCTATGTACAGTATCATGTCATCTGCAAAGAGGGAGAGTTTGACTTCGTCCTTGGGCTTCCTCTTTCTTTTACAGCGTCCGCCTTGCAATATTTCTTGCAGAGCTGGTTCTGTGGTCACATATTCTTTCAGTTTCTGCCTATCTTGGAAGCTCTTTATCTCTCCTTGTATTCTGAATGAGAGCCTGGCCCTGCTCAGCTCGGGGCGGGAGCGTCCTTGCTGTCCTTTGCCCTCCTGGCCTCTGCCTGTCCTTGGGTGAGCGCCGGATCCTGGGCTGTGTCCAGCGCCCTGGGTCCCGGGGCCTGCAGTGCTGGAATCGCGCTCCCGGGGCCGCAGCCCCCTCCGTGTGGAGCCACCGCGGGAGCTGCTCCCAGGCCCAGCCGGGCGCGCCCTCCAGCCCTTTAGGGAGCTTGGCCCACAGCGTGTGGCCGCTCTCCCAGGGCGCAGGTGTCTGTTAGTGCCCCTGGGAGCCCGAGGGCATCCCCGCCCTCCTGGGGTCCTGCCCGAGCTCCCTGCGAGCCCCTTTCTGCCCGGGAAGGTTGGTGCAGCTCCTGCTTCTCCGGGACGGGGCCTTCCTGTCCTGGGGGCTCTCGCCCAGCGGCCTTAGCCCGGCTCCTCGCACCCCCCACCCCCCGCCATGCCTTTTTTATTTTTATTTTTTTTTTCATCTTCCTACCTTGATAGAAGCGCGAACTCTTCTCACTGTAGCATTCCAGCTGTTCTCTCTTTAAATCTCAGACTGAATTCATCGGTTTTCAGGATGATTTGAAATTTATCTAGATACGTTGGTGGGGACAGGTGACTTGGGGACCCTACTTTTCCTCCATCTTGCCCCGCCTTCATCTTGCCTTTTACTGTCACAAAAATCCCTATGGCTTTTTTGTGCAGTCCTATTGGTCCAGTAGGACTCCATTAGGACCACAAGAGCCAAATAGGAACTGGATATGATCCATCAGAGCAAATGCATTTTGAAAAGCATTTTCTGTCTCGCAGCACTGCCATTTCTCATTGATGGTTTACCTATAAGATTCCATTTTCCTGGACTCTAAGAAAATCTTCTATATTTGTTATATTTGATTTAATACCACATTAACAGAATACAATGGAGACAAGTGTACAAGTGTACAACATCCTAATCTACTGATGTTTTCCCCCCTTATTTTAGAAAATTCATTTCCTGGGAACTCCTGTCTCTCACTGCTGTTGCCCCACCTCCTGAGTAGGCAGCACTGATGGATGAAAGTGCCCGGCCAGGGTGGTCAGGAGACTATGGCCTCTGAGTGCATGGAGACAGCACAGTTGTGAGCTTCCCACCAACACCTGTGTCCCTCCCACTGTAGGCCACTGCTACCTGAAACACCTGACCGCGGCTAACCTGCATGGGGGCCAAAGGCCTTCATGTTCTCCGATAAACAGGCAAAGAAAAAAAAAATCACACCCCACCGAGGAAGACCAAGTTGAACAACCAGGCAGAAGGAAGAAGAAGCAAAAAAAGACATTTAATTTCTTTGAAAAAAGGAGAAATGTTAAAGAGATGTGAGTAAAGGAAGTAGTTAAAAGACTTTCTCCAAC